CTTCTGTACTTTGAGGGTGGCAGAGCACTGGAACAGGCTGCCCAGAGAGACTGTGGAGTCTCCTTCTCTGGAGATACTCAAAACGCATTTGGATGCCTTCCTGTGCAACTGCTGTAGGTGACCCTGCTCTGGCAGGGGGATTGGACCAAATGATCTCCAGAGGTCCCTTCCAACTCTGACCATTCTGTGATTCTGTGATACATCACAGAGCTGGAGAGTGGGAGAGTATTTGGGAAGTATGTACTTGCATTGTTCCTAAAGTCTTCTCTAGGCATCTGCTACTGGCCATTGCCAGAGACAGTATATGGCTTAAGCTGGATCTTTATTCTGACCTGGTATGGCTGTTCTTAAGACTAAAAATGAGGACAGTTCTTGCACTGCATCTAAAAATAAATTAATCGTCTACTGAAAAAAAAAAAAAAAAAAAAAAGAACCTGAAATGAGAAATTACTACTTGGACAAAAATGAACCTGAACATTGCAGCATAACTAATTCAGATTGGTCGTATTTCAAGAAATCAGCAGAAGCATAAGCCCAGACAGGGCCTGATCTTTCATTCCTTCCTCCCCTCCTACTCTACTTCCTCCTCTCCCCCACGCCCACCCCAAACCCATCTTTATATCAGTTGTACTATATTGCTTTGGAAGGTGAAACTTAATGGGAGCAGATTATGTTGCTATATTCCCTTCTCTCCTTGTGCTCTCCCCACTCATTTCTTCACTAACATGGCACATGTTGATATTTTAAGACACATCATTAGCCCCAAGGAACTGTTCTCATAACCTGTCACAAGCTTGCAAGCCTAATTCTGGCATCATCCAGTCGTTTGCCCATCTCTTAACTGTGCATTTCTTCCTGTCTGCCTCCAGCAGCTTGCAAACCTGTGCTTAATCAGACCTCCCCTCCCAGCAGCTCTCATTGCTCAGTTATCAGTGGAGTTGTCGGAATGGCTGCTGAGGCAAGCTAAACACACAGGGCGGAAAGGAGAGGAGGGGAAAAGCAATCACATTTTTTCTTTAAACTGTAGTTGAGATATTGCATTCTCACCTTGACTGAACCTGCATTGGAAGCACTTTCTGTCTCACCAGGTCAGAGATCTTTGGCTCTCTGCAGGCTAGAAAAAATATAATGTTGCACAGTACTTTTCCACATTCACAGCTCAAGTGTTATGGTTCATACACATTTCCACTCTCACTAGCTATAGTGGACTGCATTAAGAAAAGAGGCAGTAAGTTACATGCATTAAAATAAAGATAGGCCCTAAAACCTAAAGCCTTGGAAAAATACTTCCCCACAGATCACCAGATTTACAACAGCGGAAGCAACTGAGTATCTTCTGCACTGGCACTTTCAGTCATGGAGGAAGATTTGTCCATCAGTGTGTCTGAATGCCAGATTTACACCACTACAGCTGATGGTTTGGAATCTGAGCAAACTTCTGCAATAATGGAATTATCTAAAAAATACTTAATTTCCATCTGTGTAGCCACACACAGCTAATCCCGGTGACTCGGCATACAGAGAAAGGCTGCAGGATGGTAACAGACTTCTAAGAGTCTGTTTGCTTGTGCACCCATGGAAGGAGCTGGAGACTCTGATTCACAGGAACACCTCAGAGTTACCTGAATATGTACAAAATAACAGAAGGGAGATCCAGGATTTCTCATTTTGCATATTCAATTTGTTTACTGGAGGACCATAATAAAATATTCAGGTTTATCAGTTCAAATAACTCTGCCAGGATTTCTTCCCTGCTGTGCACAGTGGAAGAAAAGGAATCTTGCAGGATGGATTTTATCTGTATGCCTGAGAACTTGTGTTCTGTGGGATTTAACAATATCTAGCTCTTTGTGATTACTGTATATGTTAACCTTTATGTCACTATCAAAGTTCACATCAATAAAGATGCTTTCCACAAATGATTATCATCAATAAAGATGCTTTCCACAGATGATTATACGCTTCAGGGAAACAGTATTTCCATCTAAAATAACAGAATAAAGCAAATTCCCCAGGGGACAGACATATTTCCTTATATTATCATTACTTCAGTTAAACAAAAATCCATTAAAATATGTGTCAAACAATTGCTTTGGGAAAATGAATTTGGCAGTCCCACAGCCCAAATTTATTCATCCATTCAGGGTTTCAGGCACGCTTAGAGTAGCTCCAGGTCAACAGCATAATTCGCTTTCTAGCAAAGGATTTAAAGCTGTGTTTCAGTGTTTTGATGAATACAGATAATTTAAGCATGTCCTCGAGTGGTTTTCTGAACCAAACCTTCAAGGCTGCAATCTACGGGCTTGGCCTTTTGCACTCATGACTGGTCTCATTGACTTAAAAGGACTGTGAGAGGAGAGCTGGGCCCTATGACAGCAACTCTGATGAGACAATTACTTCCTTCTATTTCAATTCCCTCCTGATCTTCTTTGATTTTGATCTTATGTAGGTTTGATCCTAGAATGAGGGTAATAAGGGTCTTAGGGAACACTCCTTTCCATGTTTAAAGATGGAAACATCTTCTGGAATCGCTGGCATCTTCTCTGGCTGAGTTTAGCCAGTAGAGATGGCAAACTACCAATCTCAGTATCAGGTGTCAGTCAGATGGCTTATTCTTAGCAAAAGCAATTGATTGGTGAGTGTAAATTATATAAACCAAATTCCAGTAAAACCATAGCAGCTTTTGTGAGTTGTGGTAAACAAGATTGTAAACTACCTTTTATGCAGATTGGCTGCTTCCCTGACCATTCTCCATCGTCTTGGCAGGTCCTCTGTTCGTTCCCACTAAGAACATACGAGTTGTTACAAAAGAAAGCAATGACTGTGCCAATTTTTGCATAGCGTCCATTCAAGAGCCCAGTGTCTTCTACTACTCTTCTGTAGCCATTGAGTGGGCCACCAGGATCTGAGCAGTTTTTTTCATCTAGAACTAATGATAGGGGAAAAAAATAGTAACCATTTTATCAGGTTCACAGCATTATTTTCACCCATCAGATTGCTTGGCATTTCATTCAGATGTTACTACATAATCTACATTTAATTCAGGATGCCTTTTCAAGACCCAACTGGGATCTCTGTCTTTGAAAAGATCAGATATTAAAGAAGAAATTATAATATACAGATGTCTCTTTATAATACACACTTTAGTCTTCACTGAAAGCATAAGATTCTCAAATTGTTAAAAAGACCTTAAAACGTAGCTGACAATCTTGAAAAAGAACCTTGACTTTACATGATACTAATGTTCCATTAACATTAACAGGGCTACTTCAAGAGCATAAAAGGATGCACTTAAACTGTTTGCAGGAAACAGGCCCTTGGTGTTCTTTTCCCTTTTCTGTACTTTCAATACTACACTGCACTTGGATAATAAAACCAGACTACTTAATTTTACTTCTATGTTTGGTTGCATTTTGGTTTCTTAGCACTGAGAGATCTCAATAATCCAGGGAAATACATGAATTGAAAGAGAACATATATATATAGATATATATTTACTGCTAGTAAAAATTTAATATGGAAAGCTTACTCATGCTAGGTTCTGCCTATGAAACCTCTTTTACTTGCTCCTTCCCAATATTTTCCCTTTCTTTTTATTTGTTGATGTGGCCTAAATCTGGATGACAGTATTCCCTATGTGATGCTAATAAATGCTTTTCCCTATATTTTTAACTTCTTTGCTCTTTCTATTTAGCAGTTGAAAAGGTACTTTTTTTTTTTTTCCTTTGGATTTCATCTTAGTTTTCTTGTCAGGCTGACAGTAACATGCAATCCTGCTTAATTCCTCTGTCTGATGTCTCGTTGCATGATAACCAGTGAAGATGTAGTTTAGACAGCTAGTGTTGGTGCTGCTCTGCTTATGAAGGACTGAGAAGACTGAGACATAACAATTGACCAGAAATGACCTCTTCATGTCATTGCTTCAGACTCAGCGGCCTGCTGAGTCTCACTTCACAAAAGCACCAACAAAGCGCTTAAACATTTATTTAAATCCCTGGGAGATCAGCACAGTAACAGTGCATACGTATGGCCCTGTCCTGTTCCCATATCCTTCCGTCACCAGACGAAGCCCAGCTCAGCAAACCACGTAAGCACATCGCTAACTGTAACAGTACAAGTTCAATGAAAAGCATATGCTCTTAACATCGAATGTATAATTCAAGCTAAGCATATATTTCAGTGTTTTCTTTAAGAACACTGGATTTTAGCATATGCTGAAGGTTATATATGTACTTAAATACTTTCCCACGAGTCATATTGTGTAAACAAAGAGGACGTCTGAACTTGCTCTCAACCAGGAGAAAGGGAGAAGCAGAGCCCTCTCTCCTTTTGATTTGGCTCCATTTTTCGTCTCTGTACCTCACAGGCTCTCTTCACTAGTGAACCATAAGTGACTGAAAACTGGATAGCAGCTAAAGACTACAGGGAATCACCCACAGGATAATGCTTTATTTGCAAGTTGCCTTCTGCACTGATATCTAGCCTAGAGGCATCATCTGATGAGCAGCGTGCATGTTTCCAAATGTAACTAAGCTTGACCAAATAAGTCAACGAAGGCCTCCTCTTATTTCATCCTCTGCCTCTCAGTAACTTGAACAGTAATTCTCTTCTTCCCTAAGCTCAGGGTTATGACTTTTTTGATGGATTAAAAACAAAGAGAAAACATCTGGGAAGGAGAGACCCAAATTACACCACCTAGCACTTCAGTAACAGCCAAGTCTGGAGACAGATCTTTCAAGAGATCTTTAACCAGGGACATCATGCAGCAGGGACTTTAGCACAATCCTGGTATTACATTTACTGCAACTAGAGATGTTCTCTCTAGATAGAAGAATGCCTGTTGCTTGCTCTTTCAGATGAACTGATATACAACTGTTTCACAACACTTTCCCCTCTCCCCCTCAAATTTACATTGTTTGCCACAACACACTTGTAAAAGCACTTTTCCAATTGATACAAATTGTTCTGGAATATGGAAATAAAATTGTGCAATACAAAACAACTAAAGAAAAACTAAAAGTCTCTTTGGATGAGAAGAAGGGCCTTGGAATTTCACAGTTGAATCAATGTGAATGGTAGGCATGCCAACTTGAACAGCCAGAACGAATGGAAGTTTCTCTTTCATCAGTTTTTCTCTAGGATGGGAATTTTGTTGAAATAAGGGTCTAGTCTGTATGCAGTGAGCCCCTAATTACCTCCACAGAATGCACCAGAGTTCTGCAGAGAAGGTATCAGAGTAATGACAATACACATAGTATACTTAGTAATGGAAGCAGCTATTCATTGTTGCACCATGTCTCTCACTTGGTTTTGGTCCTAGACATTTTCAGTCTGTGTATAAGAAGGATGTATGCCTAAAGTCTTTGAGGAAATTATTTTTCAGTCATTTGATGTTTCAGTCAGACCTTTATATAAGCAAGTCTTGCAGGCTTGGGCTCCAGCAGAGTAAAATAGGAATCCCTACTGCTTCTTAAAGACAGCAAGACAAAAGAACATCATGTTAAGCCACGGATCTACCAAATTTCAAGTGAGATTTGGATATTCTAGTTTCATGTGAATACACTGGCTAAAACATTTGATAATAATCAAAACTTAAAATGACCTTACCACATTCAGGATGATGTGTTGACCAAATCCCATCAAGCTGACAGTAGGCAACACGGCTGCCTTTTAAGCTGTAACCTGCGTTGCACTTGAAGTAAACCTGGGCCCCGTATTTAAAGTCATCTCCTTCCACAATACCATGAGCGGGAGCACCTGGAGTCCTACACATCACCACTGACAGTTCAGATATTTCAAAAAAATCCACTTTATTACAAAAACAGGACTGTGTTAGGATGATTCTTTATTTAGAACATTGAAAAACCAATTTAAATGGGCACAGGAGTCAAAATTACAAGACATATGCCAGTCTTTAGAAAGTTGTTTAGACGTCAGTTCTACACACACTTACACATACGCCACTTTTAAAACATATCTAGATCAATTCAGTTCAATGGGATTACTCAGAAGTGTGATCATGTGCACAAGTGTTTGTATCATTAGGGCTCATTTGCTCAAAATACTAGTGTTTGAAGCACTTTCCATCTTAACAGGGGTTTTGAATGAACTACCATGCTTGGTCAAGAAAAAATTTAGAGCCTTAAAAGCCTTAGATTGAAATTCTTTCAAATTCTTCTTTCCATTTTTATACAGTTTTTCAGACAACCACACTGAAATATTAAAGCATCATTATTTGCGTAGATCAAACATTATCAGAATGACATTAAAAAGGAATCTTGATATTTACCAAACTGTGATATTTACCCTTTCCACAGGGGTTTCTCTGTTGGGAAAATACTTACAGACAATGGTCTATTTAACTACTGCAAGTAGTAAATACTAGATTAAACATCGTAAGTAAGATTTTTCTGAGAGCATCAAACCAGCCGTACTAAATCAGAACAAAGGTCCATCCAGCACAGAAACCTGCCTTCAAGAGTGGAAAACAGTAGATTTGATGGAAGGAATATAAAAACAGAGCAAGCATATAGAATACTTTCCTGGCATATTGTGGCAGAATTCAGCAATCTGGGGCTCAAGGACTACTTGAACTACAATGGTATTTTAGGTAGAGCATACCCTGGTGGTTTTTACTTTTTTTTTAACATTAATTTGCTTGACTACATACTTGGTGTCCACCATATCCTGTGGCAATGAATTCTACAGACTAAGTGTTGTGTGATAAACACACTGCCTTCTTTGGTTTGGTTTCTAGCCGGCCACCTGCTAATTTCATTTGATGCTCTACTTTCTCTGTTATGAGAGACAGAGAACATCCATGCCCTATTCACCTTCTCCAAGCCACTTTTTAAGACCAGTTTTCTGTATATAGGAATTATATGTCTGTATTTATGTAGAAACTACAACAATGTAGGAAACACAGCATTTAGTACCTACACGGTTATCCAACTCTCTGTGTGTCTCTGGCTTGGCCTGGCCATTCATTCTGGAAAACTGCATAGGAAAGGACTCGGTGAATGCAAGATTTAGATATGCGTATGGGTTTTTTACCTGGGAGCTGTGGTACTCCACCGAAGACAGACAGATGAATGCTAAAGAGATGATCCCTACTTTATGCTTTTAGAATTTGACAACTTCTGTTTTGCCTCATAACTAGTTGCTTACTAACCTACAGCCAAATTTTGATCCTTACACTTCCAGATGAAAAACTTTTCTAAGGTCTCAGCCCTGTAATCCTTACACAGAATACACATGAATGCATCTATTTATATAGATTGTGGACCATCCAATTATACACATAAGGAAGAGATTCTTAAGTAATGGTCCTAAAGCACCAGCATTCGCAAGAACAAGGCTCCACAGAAATTCTCCTCAATTTACAGATTACTACAAACACCAAACAATGAGTCAGCAGAATCATTTGTGCACTAGTAAGCACAAGCCTTGGAAAGAAAAAATGTCTAATATTTAAGCATGAGAGAAGGGCCCAGACTCACTGCTCTAAATGAAAACACATCCAGTTAGCAGACGCTCAATATTTTTTCTTGGCTGCAAGTGTTCTGCATCAGTGTCATCTTTAGTGAAAGACTAATGATAAAAATTCAACAAAATTCATTCCTAGCCCTTGATGTTTCTCATGTGAAATATAGGCACACATACATATACATGCACATATAGGTGCATATGGGTATACACAAGCACATACATAAATGAAAGGGAAATAACGGGAGCATAAATTTTCTAGGTGTTTTAAATTCTCAGAACACTTGTCTTCCCAGTCATGATCTTTGTCACTCCCTCCATATCTTTCTCTGGACAGCAATTCATTTCAGTATATTTGTATTTCTCTCTTTCAATGTAAAGTCACACTCAGCTTGTCAAATGGGAAAAGAAGATGATTAGAAACATCTATGCACACTCAGAGTTCTCCTTTTTATCATAAATACAAGTTTTCTGTTTTGCTTCTGGTCCAGTTCAGCTCTGCAGAACAAATGTTTTGGTGCTTTTGTGTTCTAGGTCCACCCTGGAATAAATGTCACCAAGCCACACTTACTTTTTTTTTCCACAAAGTGTATTTGTTCTTGTTCAATCTCCTAAGTGATTAAGATATTTAATTTCTAGTCCTTTTGATTTGCTCTGGTTGCCAGACTTTCTTTAGATTCTCTGTGCCAGTGTGACCCAGCTGTAACAACTCTGGGTTTATTTATGATGCAAATTCATTTTTTCATGCACAGATTCATTTAGTACTGGAACTATGGCCTAGAGTACAGGATATGGAGGCAGAAGGTCATGAGACCTAATCATAGCTATAAAACTGTGGCCATGGGTAAGTTGCTTCATCTGCTGTATCTAACAAATGTGAGCACCCCTTTCCTCCCAGGGATGTTATGAGCATTAGCTCATACCCGCTTGTGTCAGAGTCACCGTGGGGTTTCTCTGATGGCAAAACAGCTACGTATTATTAATAGACATGTCCCTTTTGTTACCTGTGGCTTTATCTACTGATTGTCTGTTGTCTTGTAACACAGGATCTTCCCTCAAGGTCTCTCCTGTTCTTTAAACTTTGCCACTGGAGGCACAGCCACTTGTTTTATTTTTTCTTTGGATCATTCTGTAAGTTCATTCTTTCTCTCTACAAATTAAATGTGGGTTTGAATCTTGAGGTGTTCCCTGCATCTCAGTACCACAGCTGAGCTCTCTGTTTTTAGCTATATTATCTAGCCTGAAAGTGACATATAGTTACTCTAGTACCTGCCTCTACTGCTTTGGTTTGAGCTCTATAGCTTTTTTCTCGCTTCAGTTTGACTTGCTTTTTATCCCTTTCACCTAATATGTTTCTGGCAGCTCTTCTGCACCTTTTCCCTTTACTTGCGAACACTTCAGGCAATGGAGTTTTGAACAGTTATTGTGAAGGGAATCCTAGCCCCTGTGTGCTTCATCCAATTCTCTCTTATCTTTTTGTGGATAGCTTCCCATCAAGAGTGTGAATTTGACTGGTTTTTACATCTTTCAGAATGTGCAGTACATTCCATTGAACTTTAGGACAGCCTCCTTTGTTTGAGATATTTTATTGAAGTCTTTCAACATTCTCTCCTGGTGTAAGACTATATCCAACTCTCCAACAGGCGTTTCTCAGAAGTCAAAAAGAAAGGAAAAGAACATTTTGTAAATGTCATTCATACCTAGCTCTGCCCTTACCCTCTGGGTACACACACAAGCCATAAAATCTAACCACCTGAGCTGACGCAATTCTCTTCTAAGGTATTTGACATGATTGCAGATTCCCTTGCCTAGGCTGGATGGGCCTGATCCTGCCATCTACTGAGCATTTCTGAATATCAGTCCTCCTTCTCTGCATGGTCCAGCTTTCACAATCACGTGGGCTGGATGCCCCTCACAGCCCTCACTCACCCACAGCCATCCCCATCCCACTCTGTATCCAACCCCAGCTCCAACCTGTGCCTGGTCTAGCCTGACCTCTACAGCAGAGATGGGGCTGTGAGACGTTCGGAAAGCACTTCCTTGGGAAGCAGGTGGTGGGCTAGCCAGGAGCACTCTATGAACTCAAACCGTTCCTAGGCCACTAGTTAGACTGCTCTGGTCCACATGAAATAAATGATTCCTACTGCCCTGTGACTCTGGCTTCCTACCTTTAAGATGGCTTAGACGTGTCATTTGTGCTGTGTCTGGCTCTAGCATTACTTGTCCATAGCAAAATGAGAGAGGAAGGAGTAGGAAAATCTGGCTTGATAACCCGTGGGAGGACTTTCTCACTGACAGAGCAGTGGTTAAAGAAAGAACTGGCACCCATAGGTCTTATGCTACTTAAAGGCCTTATCAACATTTCCCTAGTGTCAGTGCAATGCCCTCTGAATAGCAGTCACTACCCAGGTTTTCACAAGGTTAAGACCTTACCTTTTCTCTCAGTGCACTTTGCAAAGCAGACAGAGGAAGAAGCAAAAGACAAGGTAGAGATCTTCAGACAGTATTATCTATGAAATGTACCATGAAGTCAGCAAAACTCACCCCAAACTGTAAGGTTTGAGACAACCCTGCCAAAATGGAACTAAGAGTGTCAGGATTTCAGGTTGCAGTGCTTGGTCTCTGCACCTTTCTCTCCACAAACGGAGGACCAAAGCCACCAGGAACCCAGAAAAATGGACTAGGTGGCTGCAAAATTCTACTATGAGATGGTAATGGACAGCCAAATAATGAAAAACATTCATTCAAGGTCTGCCAAAAAAATTTTGAGCAACCACGAGATTCTGTGAAGGTCAGGCTGATCACATTCTTCACGCCATGGTGTCGTCACACCTATAAAGATTCTGGTGAAGTTATATCTAGAAAACAACAGGAAAACTGGAGAGATTTCAGGGAAAGGTGAAACTAATGTTAGGGAAATATAATCTTGAGAGTGACTAAGAGCTAAGAATGACCACCCTGGTCATGCAAAAGCTAAAAACTACAATAATCTGAAAGCTAAAGCCAGAAAGGATACAGTAAAATGCTTAAAGGAAGACAAAGAGGTATATTCAGGCAGGATAAAATTCAGAACAGGAGAATTTTTACTCAAGAAAAACTCTATAAGAAAGTCTGCTTGACAAATGTTTGAAAGGCATAGTAGGATGTAAGTGGAAATGATATCAGTCTCATCATTTGAAAATTGAAACTCCAGCTGAAAAAAAACAAAACTGGGACAGACTTTGGAGAGAACAGGGCAGCACTAGCAAACCCATTATGAGCTGAGAGATTTTTTTAGTTTTATTTTTTCCATA